CCAAACAACTGCAGTGACTCACCGAATCAATACTGGTGATGCCAGTCCTATACGGCGGCGTCCATATCGCGTATCTTACAAGTAATGCCAAGTAATTCAGAATAAAGTGCACAAAATGATTACTAAAGACGTAACAGAACCCTCATCCAGCCCCTGGGCCTCCCCAGTCGTGCTCGTTGAGAAGAAGGATGGCAGCGGGCGCTTTTGCGTGGACTATCGCCATTTAAACAAAGTGACCCACAAAGATGTCTACCCTTTGCCTCGGATTGATGACGCCCTCGTATGCCTCAATGGTGCCCAATACTTTTCGTCTATCGACCTTCGATCCGGCTATTGGCAAATTTCCGTCGACCCCATGGATCGTGACAAAACCGCTTTTGTTACGACCGACGGCCTCTACGAGTTCAAAGTCATGCCATTTGGACTGTTTAATGCGCCGGCAACTTTCGAGCGCATGATGGATTCTCTTCTCCGAGGATATAAGTGGTCCAGCTGCCTATGTTACTTGGACGATTTAATCGTCTTTTCACCTACATTTGAGAACCATATAACATGTCTGTCAGCCGTTCTGGATGTTTTTCACAGAGCTGCTCTCCAGCTCAATTCTGCAAAATGCCATTTCGGACGTCGCCGAATCACCATACTCGGCCACCTTGTCAGTGCCTATGGTGTTCAACCAGATCCTGAAATGGTGCGAGCAGTACAACAATTTACTGAACCACACTCAACCAAGGACGTCCGAATTTTCGTAGGGCTATGTTCCTATTTTCGTTGATTTGTCTGCAACTTCGCCGACATCGCTCGACGGCTTACTGATCTCTTAAAAAAGGACGTTCCCTTCGCATGGGGCATATAGCAAGCGGACGCCTTTTCAGCTCCTATCCATCTGCTGACTACGCCACCAATACTTGCCCATTTCGACCCTGCATCACCTACAAAGCTTTGGACCGATGCCAGTGGCCATGGAATTGGAGCAGTCCTCCTTGGCCAACAACAGCACGGGAAGAACTGCGTGATTGCTTACGCCAGTCGTCTTCTTTCACCTGCCGAACGGAAGTTCTCCATCACTGTGCGTGAACGCCTAGCTTTAGTGTGGGCCGTGGTGAAATTCAGGCCTTACCTGCATGGCCGAACGTTTTACGTTGTTACGGACCATCACGCTCTTTCCTGGCTGTCGTCGCTAAAGGACCCATCTGGACGTCTCGGTCACTGGGCGCTTCGTCTGCAAGAATACTCTTTCGTGGTCCACTACAAGTCGGGACGCCTGCACACAGACGCAGACTGTTTGTACCGTTATCCGGTTGAAACGCCCGATTTGACAGACCTTGATTCAGACCCCTGCGTTCTCTCCATCCACGCTTTGGGTGATATATCCACCGAACAACGACGTGACCCGTTGTTACTCTCCATCATCGAGCGTCTGACTTCTGCTCCAACAGACCCTTCCGTTCGCCTGTTCGAACTGCACGACAACATTCTGTACCGTCACAGCTTCAACGCTGATGGCCCGGAATTACTACTCGCGCTTTCCCATCACCTGCGTACCAGCGTTCTCGAACAACTACATGACGTACCTACAGCCGGTCAGCTAGGTGTCTCTCGTACCTACGATTTTGTGCGACGTCGCCTTTTCTGGCCCGGACTGTATCGTTCTGTGGTTCGCTACGTCACTGTTTCGACCGCTGCCAACGCCGCAAGCGCCCCTCTGTGCTACCGTCAGGCCTCCTACAGCCCATTGACATACCGACGGAATCATTCTTCTGTGTTGGCCTTCACCTGTTGGGCCTGTTTCCTACGTCCACCTCCGGAAATTAATGCGCTGCAGTCGCCACAGACTACGCCACACACTTTTCCATCACTAAAGCACTGCCGACAAGCTTTTCCACTGACGTCGATGACTTTCTCTTGTATGAAGTCATTCTTCCTCACGGCACTCCGCGGCAGCTGCTTACTGATCGAGGAAGCTACTTTCTTTCACGTGTTGTGGATTACAATCTCCGCGCCTGCTCCACTGAGCACAAGCTTACCACCGCTTATCATCCACAGACAAATGGATTGACCGAGCGTCTGAACCAAACGCTGACGCAGATGCTGTCAATGTACGTTTCGCCAGATCACCGTGACTGGGACAAAGCACTCCCCTTTGTCACGTTCGCGTACAATTCTTCACGGCACGAAACAACTAGTTATTCGCCGTTTTATTTGCTAGTTGGCCGACATCAGGCATTACTATTTGATATGCTTCTTCCTTCGGCTGCCCCTTTGTCTACTAAGTACGCCAGCGATGTCGTTTCTTGAGCCCATGCAGCCCGACAGCTTGCCTGTGATCGGCTGCACTTGTCGCAAGCGCACCAAAAAGACCGCTATGACAGTCGCCACCAAAGCATGCACTTTTCTCCAGGGTATCTGGTACTTCTCTGGACACCAAACCGCCAAGTCGGCTTATCAAAGAAGCTACTATCACACTACCATGGCCCCTACAAAGTATTACGACAACTTAGGGACGTGAGCTACGAGATTGCACCCCTAAACAATGCCTCTTCGACCCCCTCACTCCAGACAGACGTTGTACACGTTTTCAGACTCAAACCGTATCACCCTCCTCGTTCGTCGCCGCCGTACTAAGCGCCGTGACGGCGCTTCCGTCGCAGGGGAGTGATGTTACGGTGCATCATCGACAGGAGCAAGCGTGGCACTTCACTTTGCGAAGATGAAGAAGACGCCTGTGCGTTAGGCGCTTGCGCGAGAGGCAACTCAGACGTCTTGTTCGGCTGCCGATTCTCGGAGGACGCTGTCATATAATCCTAGACCTCGCCCCGTCACAATATCTGCAAGAATGTTTTCTTATACCGCGGAGACCTGCTCTCTGAGATAAAAAAAGAGGCTATTATATCTACTGTATTATTCATAATGCCTGTTTGGCTTTTTAGCTTTTGATTTACGCTGACGTGCTAATTATTCCGAACGGAATGAGCTGGAACACAAGAACAGATCGCATAGGGCCTCAACCACACATTCTAGTTACACTAATTTCGCGCCGCCAAAAGCATGAAACGGGCTCATTTTAGTGCCACATTCATTATTCTTACCTCGCGTCTGCTGCTGAGTCTATCGAAACTTGTTGCAAGTACAGGGTGTTTCAAGAAGTGTGTACAATATTCTTTAAAAACCAGGAAAAGGTGCTATTTACCAGCTGTTTCCACATTTATTTTTCATATTGTGGCAGGCATATTACGACGGTTGAAGATGTTATTTGGAAAGGTAATTAGAAAAGTTAAATTAAATAACATATTTATTCATTGAAGTTAGGCCGTTAGGTCAAATGCGAGAATTGATGTGCATGCGAAGCACCAATTGCCAGTTTGAGATTACAAAAAAGCGGTTTGTAGAAATAACTGCGAATTATTGAAATTCTCCCATGTCTGTGGGGGAAACCAAAAACAAGATCGTCATTAACCTACGGCGTCTCTCATAATAATATGGTGGTTTTGGGGCAATAAACCCCACATATCAAGTCCAGCGCTTGTTCGCCCGTGACAACGAGAATACACGAAGGATCCTTGTGTTCTCCTATGCGACGAATCTCGAGCGAATGCGAGAAGAAAGAGGTGGAGGATAGACTACTGCGAATTTAAAGTAATGCCCCCCTCCCCCAAAAGACTTGAAAGCAAGCCGAGCGCCGAGAAGTACAGTTGAACACGTACCTTTTGTTTGGAGCAGTAGTAGTCAGGTGTGAATGAGAGCAGGCGAGTTCTCAGCTCTGCTCTGCATATTGTACAGTTCTCGCGGTGTGGAGCTGGCAAGACTTGTTATGGTAAAGGGGTATACGTTTATCATGTGGCCGAGTGACAAGTATTGGTATGAATAAATTGACGTAACTATAGCGTGTCACAAAATCTTGTAACTCAGTAATTTGCACTCATCAACCACTCAGTTGCGACTCGGTAACAATGGACAAATACGAGGCGTATTCTTCTTCTCACTGACTGCTTTGCATAAAATCACCCCCTACAACACCTGGGACCTAGCGAAGTTTTTCGTCAGTACTTTTCTTTTTCTTCGTTTCGTGCATTACGCACCCGTACCCAGGTGAATCTCAAAGTGTGTTTTTCATACAGGCCTGCTTTCTCATTGCCATAGACCGCCAGCCTGGGCACTTCTTGTGGCTGACCTAAATGGCTTTCACGCCGTCATTGAAAAAAAAAATAGCTCTACCCGTATCCAACCAAGGGCACACCATTGCAAATTGATCTCCACCAGGTCAACAAACTAGGGTTGCACAAAGGTTAACAGCGCTATGCTGCACATCACTGTAAACAATACACAACCCAGGCCGGCGTGGTATTTCCGCCTTATCATCACAATAAACAATTGTATCAGGCCATTTGGCATCACAAGCGGCCAGCGGCGCCCGTTCGGCAGCCGTGTTGCGTCCGCATTCATTGAAACGGCAGGGGCGACAGGTTGTCACAACGTGGTTTCTCTTCCACTGGTTCTTGCCACAGCCGCCACGAAGCACGCCTTATTGTTCTAAGGGCTCTTTTCCACGAACTACAATGTTAGTGCTCTTATTGTCATCGATAGGACTTTGTAGATGTCATTCGTGTGCGTGATTATGTGTCACTGCACGCAGTTCGTTACTTTGTTTTTCGATCTGAAATGACGCGGATGACGCTGAATAGGTTATCTACTCAATATTAGAAATTCTAGGTTGACTAGACGATTGAATGACACTTCGCAGTCGTGGGTATAATGCTTTCGTGCTGCTCCATGCAAGATAACCGAATGAAACCATGTGTGGAGGTAAAACTTTGAAGTGTGCGCGAGAGAGATATTAGCAGTCTAGAATCCTGCTCATTCGAGACACAAGAACACTCAATTAGACTGGAAGCACTCGATGTGCTCAGATCACAGAACCATGCGCGTGCGTTATAAATTTACTACGACATTGGATGCAGGCAAGACAGCCGAGACTGAACTGGGCCGTTATTTGTACTCACTATGCGTAGAGAGCCAAGTCATCCACCTTTTGACGAACGAGGTTGACGTGTGTGCCAGGAATTCTTTTCGTGATTGCTGCGACGAAGAGTGGGTTGTGCTGGTAAATGCGGCCGAAACTTATGGCAGCAAGCATATCGTTGATTAGCCTGTTGATTTCGGCTCGTGCTGGATGGTCGTACGAAAAGCGGCGGCCGTACACAATGGCCGATATGTTGTTGGACGCGCAAGGCATGATATAGTCGTAAAATGCAATGGGTTCCCCTTTTGTCTTAGCGATCTCATTGCAGGCACATTGGAACTCCTCCTGTAAATAGCAGGCCATACAGCGAATCATCGAGAATCTTGCGTGAAGCTATGTTTTGTTTATCATATTTTTGTGTTTAAATCTCTACACTGGATACAAGCGGCTGACGTTTCTCCCATTAGTGTTACACAGTGCAACTATGAATCAACGTAACCTTTTCAAAGGCATGCCACATGTTCTGTGTAGTACGTATACACAAATTAAACCCATAGATCACGTGCTAATCAGAGTGCGTGATAGCTCCCAACCAGATTACAAGCGCAAAAAAGCCCAAAAATGAGTGAAGCCACATAAGTTCTTTTATTGCGAGAGCCATTCTATGAAAATACAGGTCAACTTGCCCGTCGCTGTCGACCTTGTCATGTTTGCTATCATGGCAAAGTCAATCTCACCAACCTCATATCGTATGCCCTATGTGCGAGAAAAACATGCGAGACCAGTAGTAGCCATGTGTTCGAACATTTTGGCAGATCTATCGAACAATGGGCATTGATGTGATGCAAAATAGCTTAACGTGGAAGGTTACTATTGTCTAATTTTGTATTGAGCTAACGTTACGAAATAACGCTAAGCTTGAGATCAAATGACAGTAAATGCTGTTGTATGGAGAAACACATGTTGAAAAGTGGCATACGTGCTCAATTATCAGTTCTTTACAATAGCCGAACGATGTCAATAGCAGCGTGGGTATTACGAACACAAGAAAAAGACAGCTTATATGTGGCCCTTGTACTTTTCAGAATGTTAGCCCTGGCTAGTGCTACCTACACAAACTTCAGTGGTTGGCGTTAAAGCATAGAACTAACACCAACGGGACGTCATGGCTCTAGCAACAGGGCACAAATTTGCAGTGTATAAAAATTCATACACATCACTGCAATCAAAGTATATGTTACACTGACACTACTGAGGACCTAGTGTCTTTTCCTAAAGCATTTTCTTGAGCTTGCTTGGCTGTGTGGTAGAATGTCTGACTGCCAAGCAGAAGAAACTTGGGTTTGGTTTTAAGCTGTAATTTTGATTTTAACGACACTGTGCTAAACAGCTTCGTCTCGCGAAAGTTCTGGCATTGGCGTCAGTGTCGGCGTCATTAGCTATAAGCGAAAAATGATCTTGTTTGGGAAAGAAACATTTTGAAAGACGCAAATGCTATAAATATTAAAAATGTCCACGCACGAGTAAGGACTCAAGCCAGGACGTCTATGCGGCCAGCAGGTATTCTACCAGACAGCTACGGGTGTGGTTGGAAATACAGTGAAAATATTTTCTTCTGCCTGCAAATGCAGTTAGGATAACACTCATGCACTAAACACACACGCGTCCTCTACTCAGGCTTCACAATACAACATGTAAAGACAGTAAAATTGCGTGATACAAGCATACATTGTCATCAGACGTCAAAGCATATTATTATCATAACAATATTATCTTTCAAAGATAGTCACCCACTATGAAAAATAGGGGATAATCAGAGTTCACCTTTAAGAGATGTAAGCGATGCCGCTATCCTTCTCTAGTGCAGACTTCAAGCGCTTAGTGCATACTTTTCTGTGTGTTGTTGCTCGAGTAGCTCAAATTGTGCATTACTACAATGTATTCTTTAAATATTCAAAATGGCTTTGGTCAACGAATGTTTCGCATATGAAGGCAAGCTTTGTAAAGGTTGGCATTCGTGAAAGCATGGGCGATTGTGCACGCGAAATTTTTGGGAACTTGCAATGCACCACTACTTGGTCGTGAGGGAATACATGCAGTAACGTGTCTGCCTTTTTTTCATGTGTGGGCGGCTTTGAACCACGAAGTCATTCTGTTCCGACTCCCGCTGGCAACGCACGCTTGTACCACAAAATATTACTGAGGTACCACATGTTCTATATTGAAGTGAGTATACAGGAGGCGTGCGTTTGCATATCATTTAGGTTACTTTCACTTCCACAAAGGTCGCAATTCGATCTTGGCTGTGGCGGTCACATTTCTGTGGTGTCGAAATGATTTAGACCTGTGTGCTGTGCGATGTCAGTGGACGTTAAAGATCCACAGATGATCAATATTTCTCGAGTCTTCCACTACAGCGTTCCTCATTATCATAACTTTGTTTTGGGACGGATATCTCCAGATAATATTATTATGTTGCTTTCACATAATTTTCAAGCAGGGGAACGTAATTCCCCTGTAGCCTAAATCAGAGGCGTGGAGGTGCTATAGAACGCCTGCTTGCCACGCAGACGTTTTATTTCGACCCTAATTCACTCGCACACACATATAATAATTATTTTGCTTGCATCTTTCTTAAATTTACATGCGAAGCTTCTTATGGTCGACCTCAATCAGGTGTGTGACGTGACCACCAATACTGCGCATGCGCATTTCTTCATGCTCGCTTTCCTCTACAATGCTTTCTCCCTTTCTCCTCTAGGCATCCCTCCCGGCAGCGTTTACAACCCATTGAACATGCTCTCTTCCTTCTTCCTTTCGCCCCGCAGCGCCAGCGCAGGCAGAGTGTGCTAGCGAGTCTCCTGATTGAAAAATATGGCTACTCAAACTGGACAACCGTTCGCTCGCCACCCGTCTATGAATTATATTGGTACGGGGAAGATTTATTCACCGACTGCGGGCTTTGCTAACGCCTTAAATAGCGCACAGTCATGCAGGCTAACGGAGACACTCGAGAGAGTAACCCACAACAACCGCGTTGTCGTCTTCCTCCTTTTGGGTGCCATTTCAGCTGTGCCGTAGTGACAGTTCTATACAAGTATCTTCACCCCGGCCGGTAAGAAACCATCTCGGTGCCTGTTGAATGAGCGACTCAAAGCTGTAGGGCTTGAGACGAGAAAGGTGGACTACTTCCATTCTGGGTGCAGCAGCCGAGTAGTTTGTGGTCGCGGCAATCTCGTAGGTGACAGGTGTGACCTGACAAAGGACTTAGTAGGGCGCAGCGTATCGCGATAGTAGTTTCTCGCCAAGGCCAAGACGTCGAGATGGGAGCCACAGGAGAACAAAAGACCTCGCAGAAAAAACAGCATCCCTATGTCGACAGTCGTAAAGAGACTTTTGTGCTGTCTGCGACGATGATAACCAAGCGCGGGCTACTACGCGTGCTTTGAGAGCGCGGGTGATGGCATCCTGAACGTACGAAGTGGAGGACGGATGGTCTGATGAAAGCTGTGCGTCGAAGGGCAGTAAGAGATGACGTCCGAAGAGTAGATAAATTGGGGAGTAGCCCGCAGTTTCATGACGCGACAAATTATAGGCGAAGGTGACGAACGGCACAGCTAGGTCCCAATCAGTGTGGTCGGTAGATACGTACAAGGAGATCGTGTCAGTCAATGTGCGGCTTTGGCGCTCTATAAGGCCGTTAGTCTGAGGGTGGTAAAATGTTGTGAAGTTGTGACGGGTAGCACAAGATCGAAGTAGATCATCAACTACACGAAATATAAAGTAGCGACCATGACTGTGAGCAGATCAGACAAAGCGCCATGCTGGAGAAGAATGTCGTAGAGCAGGAAGTCGGCAACATCAATCGCGCAGCTGGCTGGTTGCGCTGGAGTGTTTGCAGACCTCGTGGCAAAATCTGTGGCCAATGTGATCCATTTATTTTCTGTTGTGTAAGTAGGAAAGAGACCTAGCAAGTCCAACCCCACGCAATAAAACGGCTAGGATGGAACTTGAAGAAGACTGGCAGGGGGAGTCACAGGCTTCTTTTGGCACTGGCAGAGGACGCAAGATGCGACGTAATGGCGAACAGAGCGGTAAAAACCCTTCGAAAATACTCGTAGTAGAATGCGGTCATAAGTTCTGGAGACTCCTAGATGTCCAGAAGTTGGAGCGTCGTGGAATTGTCCCAGAACACCCTTTTGTAGGTGACGTGGTACGACAATTATAAGTTCCATTCCGTCTGAGTGTAAGTGGCGGTGGCACAAAACGTTGTCTCGAAGCAGCAATCTGCTAAGGGAAGGGTCAGTATATCGCGATTGAAGGTGGTCAATGATGGTTAGCAGCGATGGATGTCGGCGCTGTTCGTCGGCCACGTTCAGAAAGTCAGTGATGGCTAAAACGCAGGCATCGAATTCCAAATCGGTGGAGTTAGGTGGATCAACGGAGGGCCGGAATCAGCAGTCAGCATCGCTGTGCAGCTTTTCAAATTTGTACACAACCGAGACCGTTTACTCCTCTAATTGAAGTGTCATGGGCCGAGTCATCCTGTAGTGTCCTTAAGTGTCGCCAGCCAGCAAGGCGCATGATGGTCCATGATGACTGCGAACGGACGTTCGTATAAAAACGTACATAATTATGCAATGGCCCAAACGAGGGCTAAGCATTTCCGGTCAGTGATGTAATAATTTTTTTCCGCTTGCGACAGAAGGCGACTAGCGTAGGCTATCACACGGTTGGTGCCGTTCTGTATCTGAGCTAGTATATATATCACTAATGCCATGGCTGCTTGCATCGGTGCAAAGCTCTGTTCGAGTGTCTGAATCAAAATGAGCCAACACAGGTGGTGATATGAGGGTAGCAATCAGGGACGCGTAGGATTGTTCTTGATCCTTTCCTCAAGAAAAGGGCACATTCTTTTTGAGGAGATCCTAGAGGGACCTAGCAATATCCGCGAAGTTGAAGACAAAGCCGAGGAAATATGAGCAGAGCCCAATAAAACTGCGAACTTCTTGTGTGGAACGCGGAACCGGGAATTCTCAAACTGCACGCACTTTTTCTGGATCGGGGTTACACACCAGTGGCGTCTACAAGGTGACCGAGTAGTTGAATCTATCAGCGTCCTATTGCGCATTTTGACGAATTCAGTTGGAGACCAGCGCAACAAAACACTTCAAAAACTGCCCAAAGACGAGACAGGTGGCTTTCGAAGGAGGGTGAGAAAACAATTACATCGTCCAGAATATAAAGGCAGGTCGACAAATTGAAACCGCGAAAAAGAGAGTCCATCATACGTTCAGAAGTAGCCGGGGCATTGCACAACCCAAAAGGCATGACCTTGAATTGGT